TTGTAATATTTTATAATATCAAATAATTTTCTAATCAAAAACATTTTCAAAGAGATAAAGCAAATTGGCTTTTAAAAAATCAGATTGGCATGAAATTTCTCTTTGGAAATAATGCATGCTAGAAGACAATGGAATACTGCCTTCAAAGTTCTGAGAGAAAGTTATTCTAAGTAAAAAAATTTCACACTTAGTCAAATTGTTAATTAAATTTGAGAATATAACAAGAATGTAAGTCATAAAAGGATTCAATGTATTTGCTTTCCACATTCCCTTTCTATAAAAATGATTAAAGAATGTGTTCTGTAAAAATAAAAACATAAGCCAAAAAAGAAAGAAATGAGGAATTAAAGAAATGGTTTAGCCAAAAAGAAGAAAAATTGAAGGAACACCTAGGATTACAACTTCTTACCAAACCTAGAGAGCAGGGTCCAGATGGGAGCTGGTGAAATGAGAGCTCCAAAAGACAGCTGTCTTGGAAGAAAATGCATGTGAGCAAAAAGAATCCACATATTCAATATTGTCTTTATGAAGCTATAACATCTAGTGAAAAATGTCACAATGCTGGAAGTAGGATAGGGAGGAGATAATTAGAAATTCCAAGAAAACTTGTGACCTTAAAAAAAGATAGGTAATCATAGTATACTGTGTGACTCATTGTGAACATTTACATAGTCATAATATTGTAAACATTGATCAATTTTCAGTTCTTGAGCAGCATGGTTAAACCTTGGGAGAGTTATGATATGTGTGAAGTAGGTCAGAAAGAGAAAGACAAACACTGTGTGATTCCATTCATAAGAGGAATATAAAGAAACAAAGCAAACAAACACATATTTTGACAATAGAATGGTGGCTATCAGGGGGGTGGGGTGGAGGAGAGTGTCTTGTGTAGAAGGGGTGGATTGGATGGTACTGGATCATATCAAGATCTTTGGAGATGAGTGTGGTATGTATATACATTTGTAGAGGTATGAAGCTATACTCCTTAAACTTATAAAGAGCTGTAAATCAATGGTATTTCAATTTAAAATGATTTTTAAACTTCAACTCTTAACAGCTTAAGTTAAAATTAAGCAATTGCTGTGGTAAGAAGGAATACAGAGATAAAGGGAAGGATAAATTCATTGTTGGTTCCTCTATATTCCTGCTGTAAGCGAAACCATCCAATATTTTTCTTTTTCCTTCTGTCTTATTTCACTGAGCATAATTCCTTCTAGCTCCATCCACGTTACTGCAAATGGCATGAGTTTATCTTTTTTGATTGCTGAATAGTATTCTATTGTTTATATATACCACATCTTCTTGATTCAGTCATCTATTTGGGGGCATTTTGGTTGTTTCCAAGTTTTACCTATTGTAAATATTGCTGCAATAAACATAGGGGTACAGGTGTTCTTTTGAATCAATATTTTTGTGTCCTTTGGGTAGATCCCTAGGAATGGAATTGCCGGGCCATATGGTAGCTACCTTTTTAGTAGACTGAGGAACCTCCAAGACACAAGTGTAAAAAAATAATAACAGTACAAAACACAACAAAGCAAAAACAGACAATTATAAATCAGAGTAATACTGCAGGGGAGGAGGAGGGAGAAGGAAGGAGGAGCACAGGGGACTGAGGTGATGGTGCACGGGTGCATTGGTGAAGGAAACTCTATGGGGACTACACCTGAGGGTGTGGGGGGAAGCAAATGTTGTTTGAAAATGAACAATGGGGTCTCCCTGGTGGCACAAGTTGTTAAGCACCACACTCTGAAGCAATCTGCAGCCTCTGCAGCATGAGTTTGATCCGTGGCCTGCCAGGGAGAAACCCACATGGTGAGGCAGATCACTCCTGTCTTGCCCGCTGCTCCCTTCAGCAGCGTATTTTAGTTGGTCTGCCTGTTCTGTTCCCCACTCTGTCTCTGGTGGATCCTCTCACCTCCCACATCTCTGGCCTGTGCCCCAGCTCTTGTATGCATAAATAAATAAATATTTGAAAAAAAAAAAAGAACAATGATGTAAAAAATAAAAATAATAAAAAAAGAAATTCTGTGTTCATCTCATGAAGAGTCAAGAGAAACTGTCAATAGTTGACAGAATTAAAAATAAGAATGTGAATATATAAAACTATATTTTACATAGTTACAAAAGGAGCTAAGGAAGGATCTCAAAATTTTATTGGAAAGTGGATGAAAAAAGGACAAGCTTAGGAAGACAGAAAAAAGGTGGCCTAAATCCATATTCAGTATAATGGAAATCAACACCTAAAATCTAAATTTGTTAAATACAGAAACAGAAAAAAATAATAATGTATTGAAGAGTTTGCAATAGGTAGAATAAAATGTCTTCTGGCCATAGCACAAAGGCTGGGAGGGAAGACACATAACTATCCTGCACACTCTTACACTCTAAGTGAAATGAAAGTATAAGTTTATACTTACAGGAAACAATAACTTTAAGAGGAATATAGTATATCTGCTTCCAGTCAAGTGGAGTACGAGGGATCAGATTTACCGTCTTGCCTGAAACAATCAAAACATCAGACAAAATACATGGAACAGCACTCAAGACATTGGACACTAGGCAATAAACACAATGATCTTTGAAACAGGGAAAAGAAAATATATATCTATACAAACTCTTATACACAAATGTTAATAGCAAGCTTATTTGTAATAACTTCAAACTAACAATAATCCTAATGCCTAGCAAAAGGTGAATGAATCAACATATCATACTGCATCCATACAATGAAATATACAATTTAGCAATAAAAAAGAATCAACTGTAGATACATACAACTGTAGATACATACATGTCTGAATTCAAGTTGGTGATGCTGAGCAAAAGAGTCAGGAAAAAAATAGTACATGTTATATGATTCCATTTCCATAAATTCTAGAAAAACAAACAATAATCTGTAGTGACAGAAAGCAGATCAAGGACTGTAGAGAGAGGGATAGACTAACTTTAAAGAGGCCCAAGGAAACTTTCAGGATGAAAGGATACCTTCATTATCTTGATTGTGATGTTAATTTCAAGGTGTCCACATATGTCAAAACTCATCAAATTGTTCACTTTTATTTTAAGCAGCTTATTGTATGTCAATTTTACCTCATTGGTTAAAAAAGAAAAGAAAACTAGGATATAAATATATTATGATAATAAATAATAATATAGTACATATTTATACATGTAACACGTGTACAGTATATATAGCAAATGAAATATATAACAAAAAGCAAACAATAAATTAAAAATATATAAATAACGCCTGGTATAGATATATTACTTTAGAAATGTGGAGGTTACTGCCAGAAGAGTTAAAAAGAAGAACTGTTAAAAGTGGTTCCCATGTCAGATGAAACTAAACCAAAATAAGCCCTGGAAATCTGCCTGTGGAATTAGGTAACCAGAAAGGAAGGAGGATGGCAGGGAGCAGAGAGGGAGGGGCCTGGGAGACTATGGTGGAGGATTTGAGTGCCTTGGTGACTGATGGACATGGTGTGCTAACATACCAGAAAAGGTATGAATTCATACCTGTGAGTTATATATAGTATTGTAAGCCAATGTTACCTCAATAAAAATATTAAAATAAAAAAAATGTGGTCCCTACGTGAGGGAATGGGGAAAGGACTCCCATAGTAAAGGAGGCCATAAACTCTTGCTTCTCAACACAAGTACTGCTGGGTTAGGTCACTTTTAACAATGTACATTATGTCAGTTCAGATGCTCAGAGAAGCAGATGGCAAAATGGGATTTGATTAGCAAGAGATCAGGAGGAAGTCTGCGAAGGATGGTAGGAAGTGGGAGGAGCAGTAGAACGAAAGAGGATCACAGTGTGGTCAAGTTCACCCCCGCAAAGGAAGAGAGGGGAGAAAAGATTGGATAGTGAGCATCTCAGAATCCAGCGTCTTCCTGAAAAAGATTTGCCATTTAATGGGCAGTGTTCAAGCAAAAGCTGCCTGGTAGATATCCTATTGAATGGGAGGTGGACATCTGACCAGGGGTTAATAACCAAAATATATTAAAAAATTCATACAATTCAACAACAGAAAGATATGTAACCCAATTCAAAAATGTGCAACAGAGCTGAATAGACACTTCTCCACAGAAGACATACAGATGGTTAAAAGGCACATGAAAAGGTGTTTATAAAAAAGCATGGTGAGATATCACCTCACACCAGTGAGAATGGCTGTTATCAAAAAAGACAAAAAAACACAAATTTCAGAGAGAATATGAAGTAAAAGGAATTCTTGTGCACTGTCAATGGGAATCTCTGCTGCATCCAACATGGTAGCAGAGGGACGCTGGCTGTGCTCATTGTTTACATTTCCCCTAACATGATTCTGTTCTAGAAATGACAACAAGAGGTCAAGACCAGAAGACCATTGTTTGCAGTGAATGAACTTGTGTGTGACAGTCTGCCAGATGACTCAAGTTGAAATTACTATTTACCACTGTGTGAGTCAACTGGTTCCACTCCAGTTTTCTGTTTAAATTCCGCACTAAATTGAAATTCATTCATTCATTCATTTTTTAAAAAATTAATTCATTCATTCATTTTGTAAACAATGGGTGAAATAAATACCCAAAGAATGGCACAACCTTTTATAGAGTCTGTCAAAAGGCAAATCACCCAGTTGGGTTGGTACTGTTTATTTTGCCTTCATTTTTTTGTTCAAAGGTGTTTAGTAGGTTTCATAATTGAGAGGTCACAATGAACACTTGAAGAAGAAATCATTTTAATCAAAAGTTGTCAAAAAGTCAAGGTATAGGATTCTGCAAGCACATAGAGGAGGGTTTCTTGAACACCTCTGGATTCTGATGAAACAACTGGAAATTACATTTAATTAGTCTGAACTCATTAGAAACCCACTAATTCTGTGATTCTCACAGCTCTGAAATCCTCAGTGACTTAAATAATAAATTATGTTCATAGTATTAAACAATTGAAAAAAGCTGTTTGCAAATCAGAGACTAATTGTTATATATCTAACACTTGCACAATTTTTCAGGTTCTGCAAAGAAAAATAACACAATATTCTGAAAATACAGTGCCCAGGACTACTCAACACCACCCTGCATAAAGGAAAATGTAAGTCTGCTGGGGGCTGAGGCAAAGTGGAAAGACAAGGAAATCCTAACCAATTCTAATCAAAGTTTCTTATTTTGCAAATTGTGTAAAAATACATAATCATGTAAACAATATTCTTAACACTTCTCATGGCCTCGGAAATTGCTCTGTTATTTATTTATTTAATTATATTATATTATATTTAATATAATTAATATTATATAATATTTATATATTCTATATTTATTAATTTATTAATATTTATTATTAATTTAAAATTATTAAAATTATTGTTATTTTATATATTTATTAATATTATATAATATTTATATTATACAAATATAATTATATTATATTTAATATAATTCTTACATCATTTTTCATTTTTGTACAATGTATGCATTTTCATTTTGGTTATATTCCCCATACAATTGCACCCTCCCTTATTTTGACCGTAATCCTTCCTCTCTCCACCCCTTCCCCCCCATAGTGTGTCTCTGGTTTATAGTTGCTTGTTGATTTTGATTTTTACTTTGTATTAATTAGTCTTTTTCCTGGTCCCTATTTAGGTTTTCTAAATTCCTGCTATGAGTGAGACCATCCGGTATTTTTCTTTTTCTTTCTGACTTATCTCACTGAGCATGATCCTTTCTAGCTCCATCCATGTTGCTGCAAACTGCATGTGTTTATCTGTTTTGATTGCTGAGTAATATTCCATTGTGTATATGTATCACATCTTTTTGATCCAGTCATCTATTTTTGGGCATTTGAGCTGTTTCTACAGCTTAGCTATTGTAAATAGTGCTGCTATGAACATAGGGGTGCAGGTGTCCTTTTGAATTAATGATTCTGTGTCTTTTGGGTAAATACCTAGGAGTAGAATTGCTGGATCATATGGAATCTCTATCTTCAGTAGATTGAGGAATCTCTACACAGCTTTCCATAGTGGTTGGACCATTTTGCACTCCCACCAGCAGTGCAGGAGAGTTCCTTTTTCTCTACGTCCTTGCCAACATTTGTTGTTGCTAGTTTTTTTAATATGTGCCATTCTCACTGGTGGAAGATGGTATCTCTTTGTAGTTTTGATTTGCATTTCCCTGATTACAAGTGATGTTGAACATTTTTTTCATATGCCTGTTGGCTATTTGCATTTCCTCTTTGGAGAAGTTTCTTTTTATCTCTTCAGCTGGGACTGCATCAAATTAAAGAGCTGCACAGCAAAAGAGACAATAACCAAAACAGAGAAACCCCACCGACTGGGAGAAAATTTTTGCACACAACACTAATGATAAAGGACTGATCACAAAAATCTACAAAGAGCTGATGAGACTCAACAAAAACAAAGAAATTAATTCAGTCAAAAAATGGGCAGAATGGCTCTGTTATTTAGTCTTCATCAACATCTCATTAAATCCACACCTCTAAGCAGCCCTACTTGAAGATGCACAGTGAGAGCATATATATGAGTTGTTGGGGAGAGGGAGTGGCCCTTTACACACATTAGTACTGAAAATAAAAAGAACATGCACAAAGGGGAACTATGAGTTGGTATAAATCATTTTCCCTGTGGCTGGTACCCCTAGGCACGGATTTCTCCCTGCCGTGACCTGGCTCCAACCACACATTCTCTTGGGTCTTTTGCAACTCAGGACACAGTCCCATCTGATTTCCCTGAGAACCTGTCACTCTAAGCAGAGAACTGAACAGCAAGAATCAGTAAGGCACGTTTTTTTGATATTGTTATTGTAGAAAATGGATTTGGCTTGGTACAAACATGGCATATGACATACGGTTGCAACTGCTTTTGGAACACTCTGAAAGAAAACTCAAGGGAAGTACTCTGAAATCTTAATAATAGTTTTCTTTGGGTGTTAAAACTGTGGGTGATATTTTTAAATTTCCTTTAATAAGCATGCATTGTCCTCGAAATGAAAAATGAGCTTGATAAAATTAGAAAGAAATCATTACCTCTGTGTGTATGTGTGTATATACATATAATGTGTGTATATATATGTATATATATACACACACATATGTCTATACATGGATATATGCATTAATTATTGCATAAAATGTTCAGGGAATATACTCAGAGGCTCCCAGTAATAATATTTCCTGTGACAGATATTACCAATATGATATGAGAACCAGAGAAGCAGTGAATCTCAGATTTGAAAGGGTCTTTGTATTAGTTTTCCTTTGCTGATTAAAAATTACTCTAAAAATTAGCTTAACCCAACAAACACTACTTCACACAGTTTTTATGGGATGGGTATCCGGGTTTTGTCTTAGCTGAGGGGTCTGTCAAGGTTGCCAGTTGATATTTTTATAGACAAGAAATAAGCAAACAAAAACTCTTTACTGTTTTTTTTTAGACTTGCTAGACATCTAATTGATAAAATACAATCTACCTCTTTCTAACTCTATCAATGGATTCTATTAAATCCATTAGAAAAGGAAGCTCATGAAATCAATGTAGAAAATACATTGTTAAGAAAAAAAAGCAGAATGGGAGATCTGTCTCACTTTGGATTCTCTTTTCTAAATTCATATAATTAGATGAAAAAGACTTATAAAGATCATCAAAATTAAACTCACTTTTATACATTTAATGGATTGCCTTTATTAAAAAGAGTAAAAGCATGTGAAATGAAAAATGTCTTTTGAGATTAGCAACTTATTGAATTAGATTATAAAACATTGGGAGGTCTATCATTTCTTCAGAGTTGTTTCCCCTGTGAGAAAGGGATTGGAGAGCAGGTCAGTGTTAGAAATTACCTCTAGACTCTTTAAAAGCTGGAATGCTCTAGTATTCATCTTCAAATCCCAAATATTTGGCAGAAAACTAGCATAGAGAAAGTCATGAAGTATTTGCTGAATGAAAGAGGAAAGGAAAATCAATAAATGTTTGGGGAAAATTACTACAAAGCCAGTTCTCACCCCAATTCCCATTCCTCCCTGCACCCTCTGAATACCCCACATCCCAGAACTTCAAAGACAGTCCCGGGAAACAACTGGCCTTGGCATCAGTAAATCACTAGATTCCCTAATGACTAATGATTCGTCATTCCATTCGTGAAATAATTAATTCCCCCTTCAAATTGGTATTTTAAATTCTAGTCCACATTATTAAAGGAAAATGAATCTACCCAACTTTTTGTTTTTGACATCTATTCAATAAACAAGCCTTTACATTTTCTCTGCATTTACTCTTTTCTTCAGTGTAAGACGCGAACATGGATTCCGGAGCTAGATGGATTCTGTCTCCTACTTTTTGTCCAGCTGGAAAGCTGCTTACTGGTTCTTTATCTTCTTTTAGTAACAGATCTCCCAAGAATCTGCACTCATGCTGTTAAACTTCCTAGCAAGTTCAAAGGCTCTCTCATTTCCCCCTCAGATCTGCCAGTTAACTTACTGCTGCTTGCTCCACGGCACTGCCTTTGATAATTTAGCCCTTCCCAGAGTCAGATTTTTCTTCGCTCAGTATAAAATAAGGTTTTATCAAAGCCCCTGGGTTTTGGCATTGTTTCCAAAATTGTGTTAAACATTCCCAAAGTATGAACTCTCTTGAACCAAGGAATCACAGAGAGGAAAGGAATGCGAGCAGGTCTGACGGGATCTGCAGCTTTTTCTGATTTATTGCACCTTTCTTGATAGGGAGTAAATGCCCATTCCAATGAGTTCTGCAGAGATGATGCATTCTCTCTGGATGAGAGATTTCACCTTGTGCGATTGGGTCTTGCTTATCAAAACTCCGGTGTGCTCATCACTGAGTTAGTAACCTTGGTTTCACTTGGTTTCAAAATGTTTATCCCAGCACAGGCTATATTGCTCCAATATTTTTTTCATTTAGAGATGAGAATTTATCAAGCACCATTACAGTTTCTGCTAAGTTCTTCCAAGTTTAAAGTACATTTTTTTTAAAGTTAGAGGTCTACATTTCGAAGTACAGGGTGGTCCCATAAAATCAGGTCCACTAAAATAGATAAGGATTACAGTTGCTCCTTTTGTTACTGTGATTAGAAAAAGTATTGTCCCACATTATGTAAATGATTAAGACTCAAAAATGACAAATGTAATAAATAATCCTAACCTATGTTTGCTGTGTTTTCCTCTAGTTTCTTTAAAAACAGACTGAAATATAAAAACCTAAAATCTTGAATTCTTTTTTTTTTTTAATTCCACCTATCACATACATCTTGTCTGCTCTAGAACCAAGGCTCTTAGAGGTAGTTTATGACAGAGACAGGTTTTAAAGGACAAAATTGGGCTGGGATTTTTTTTAAAGAAAAGAAATAACTCCAGATGATCATACATTTTAATTAAATTAGTTTTCATCATTATATTTCATCATCAAGTTACTTTTCATTTATTCTTCAAAGTATTTCTGGACTAAGCAACATTTGGAAATATATATTATGTATTTGAGAGGAATTCCTGAATTGGTTTAGAGCTTTCAACCAGGTATCTATAATTCTTTTTTTTCTCTTAAAAATTAAAGACTCCATCACATCAAGGAACATGAACTGCCAGAATTTCTAATTTTATAGGAAATAATAGTTTGAATGTGTTCTCCAAGGCATAAAAATGTTTGCCATTCCCAATACAGCGTGAGATCTTATGAGAATATAATGAATGACACAGTGCAGATAACCCATCTCCAGTGTTGCTCAAACTCTTAAAACTCAAAATGCAGGACTCCACTTGCTCCACTTTAAAGTTTAATAAAGAAAAATAAGGTGATCTGTTGGAAGATTTTGGAAATTGAGCAAAGATGAAAGGAGTTATGTTTTTATTTCTTTTATATTTGATATCTTCCCATATTACAGAAGGAAAGAAAATATGCAAGAAGTGTTTTTAATAAAACCTTGGCTGCTTTTTTGTAAGAATCCATGCAAGTAATTTTATCTCTTTGGGGATCATTTTCAAAGGAGGGGGAAGAAATAAATTGACAGAATCCCATAAGGTACTTAAAAAATGCACATATGTGCTTTATTTTAAAAACTGAGTGAAAAAGCAAGATTTCACTTATCTACTCTGCTTCATATTCAGAAGGAAGTAATAGAGGGAAGGAGGGGAAGAGGGAGAAAAGAAGAGAGGAAGGAGAAGGAAAGGGAGGGAAGGAGAGAGGAAACAACTCTGTCTAGACTGCATCATAGTACTTACGGTGAATTTTAAAAAGGATAATAACATATGTCAGTATTTTTCAACTGAAGTTGAGTTAACTGTACAAATTTAGGTTATTGAGCTTTTTAGTGAAGGAGAATTATATTTATATTTGATAATAAAAACTTAAGTCTATACATACACCCTGCTGTCCAGCTGGGCTGTCTTTTCTGTTCCCAAGGAAGGAAATCCTTGAGAAATATTGTGTGTTATAGTCCTGCCCTCATCAACTCAGCTGTGCTTCATCCCAGGATACATTTCTGCCTCATGGGTTATATCAACCAGCAAAATTTCTTGCCCCTCTGAGGGATACATTTGGAAAATCAAGGGGAGACTGTACTTGGGCCACATTCTCTCCTAGGATGGCCACAAGGCCAGATGCCCCAGAAGTGGAAACAATTAACACAAGGCTAGTTCTGGGTTTTCTCCTGAAGGCAGGATGTAGACCAACTTTCTGAAAGGGTCACTGAAGTTTGCAAAACTTTCTCTGCCCCTGGCTGATTGACTAAAACAGAGCCAGCTCATGTACTGGAGTGGAAATCATGTGAAACTTATTTATGCCTTTTTTTTATTTTCTCCTTTTAAGTATCAGACATTGAACAGAGGGAGTATCTGAGCCTGGAGCTGAATTATCAATGTACTAGAGTTAAAACTGAAGATGGGGTGAGAATTCAGGTAAGCAGAAGTAAACATGAACTCTTTGTGAACCAAATCACCGCTGCATGCTCCTCTTCAAAGCATTCAAGCTCCTGAGTTGCTCATATAAATCCGAGCTGCATTGAAAGGATTTGCTCCCAGACTTCCACTAGTAGCTTGCAGCCCCATGCATCAGATTCAGCTGTCTCTTAAATCTGCAAAATGTTATCTGCCTCACCATGCACAAACTGCTTGCTGTCCCAAACTGTATTCAATCCAGATGGGTGACTTTGCCACTTCCTGACTTCCCTTCTGTTACAAGTAAGAATATTTTGAAACAAGGCGACGAATGTTTAAACTGAATACGAGGCATATACCAGTGCTCCAGTCCAGAAAATGAGAAAATTATGCCACTTTGACCCCCCCTGGATGTCTAAAATTTTCAACCCCACAGAATGCGTTCCACATCACATTCCCAAGAAGCCATGCCATCGACATGACCAGGGCCGCACACAATTCTCAGCAAACCAACTTGATCACTTCATTCACCAAAGTAAATTAGAATGGAAGTGAGAGTGATTAGGAATAATCACTTAACAGGAATAAGAGCTAATCTATTTAATAAATCAAAAATACAGGCACTACACTATTAGTAACAACAATTTACCTGTGACAGTCATCTGACACATGGGTGTCCCAATACTGGTCCACTCAGGCCACCACCATCCCCTATGCACCTTCAATTGGGTAACTGTCAATCATACAGTGACAACTACTTTCTGTGGCTAGCACCTCCCTGGGGGCAGAGGACAAGTCTTGGCCAATACTTCATATAAATCAATGCCTGGATATAGCCAGGATTCAATATCAGTGAGAAAAATAGCTCTAGAAGGAACCCCAAGAAACTGGCAACAGCCATGGTCCCTAAACAGAGGAACTGAGAGGCTAGGGTAAGAAAAACTTGCTTTTACTGTTTATTATTTTATACTAATTGAACTTTCTTACTCTGCATTTTGTATTTAAGTGAGTGGATTAGAATAAATATTGAAAGAATAAACAAAGGGTTGAATGAACCAGCTACAATTTGATGAACAATTATTTTTAGCTGTACCAACTTAACGGCAATGATTCTTCCCAACCTTGAGTTTCTAATCTTTCTAGTGACTCACATTAAGTGTGTGCCAAGTCAAGAGAGTGCTGACACTCTGACTCACTGTGCCCAGACATTCTTGGCCAAGAAGGAGACAAAGAACTGTCACAAAGGCTACATTTTATTGGTCCAGTTTGATTCATTCAGTAGAAATGGAAACGCTCACTACTTTTCTCAACACTAGAAGTTCCCCTGTAAGGAGCAACTATGGTTACTTCTTTAAAATAATGCTCCGGTTCAAATTCAAGGAAAACTGGGGTTCCCTAGGGAATAAACAGAAAAACATTTTTTTCATGCCCCTAGGTTTGTCTAATACAGTGAATCTAAGAGTTCTGGATAGTTGTTCCAGGGCTCAGAATCTTTGTTGTATATAAATCAGGGGAAATAGTATCTATCTGACAAAGCTGCCATTAGGCTTAAATTATCCAATGTATTTAAAATCCTTGGAATACAGTTCTGTAATAGTAATAACTACTATTTTTACTCTAAAATAGTCTCATGGCCCTTTTCTCCTCTACTCCAGCTTGGAATCAGTATCAGTCTGATCTGAGACAAGTTGTTAGACTTACCTATGCTGTATAACTGCTATGAATTTCAGAATGCTTTGTTCTTTTCTGTAATGAATATATTCTGGGTGTGATTGCTGCTTCCAATATTTGCCATTTTATCTGTCAGCCTATCATAATCCCTAATCAATAACTTTCACTACCATTACTTTTTACGCAACAACATCAAGATTATATAGCGTGATGGCTGCCATGCTCTTAGAAATTTGTCAGCCCTGTCATTTGAAGTGTGTTAGAAAGCCATCGAAACTACAATCAGACTTTGTAGCAGTCTGTCATTCCAAAAGAATTTTTAATGAGGTTTTTTTTTTTTTTTAAGACTTGGGGGGTGAGAGGACAGTACTCAGCTTTTTGAGATCACTACCCCAAAGCTCCTGAATGTTTGGTAAGTTTGCCAAGAGGTATAAACTCCCTTCTAGCTAGTCTGGCTGCTGCGACTGTTGTCTAGGCCATATGATGAGTTTCTGGGGCCGCCAGTGGCCCTGCCTTTCCCAGCATGGAAGTGTGCAGCTTTCCTCACACTCACAGCCACAACAATGCCAAGAATCAGAAACAAGGGCCTGGAATGTTAGCAGGCCCCACATGAGTGGCAGTTTAGAGGGCCTCCATTATGTTTGGTGCACCGAGAACAGATTGTTATTCTGCAGGCATGAATTAGAGGCAGGGCAGAAGGTGCCACACTCTGGCCCCAGGGTATCTAGCTTCTGCTAGGAGGGAGAGGGGGCTGCTGCTGTACAGAACTTTCATGGGCCAAGTTTCAATAACTGTCCCTAGAGAACCCATCACAAGGGAAAAACATTTGTTTTCTGAATTCAATACACCCTCACATTCCATCAGTCTATTTCCATGGCCTTCTCTAGCTCCTTAGTTGTAAAATAGCAGTAATTCAGTTACCCCCTCAACATGATTATATACTCACACTTCAATTTATCATCACTAGAAAATGCATGTTTTGCATAAAGCTTTATTAAATAAAGATCTAAATTGGAACTGATTCTCCCCATCATCTGCTTGATTGTCATTTAGACAATGCTCTCTGGCATATTAGCTGCTATATATTTAGCCTAGTTGCTAAAATGATGAAGATAGTATGTGTATAGAGACCTTGTTCTAGATTCTTAGGCAAGCAAAGGCTCTGAGACATCAGTCCATCAAATGGCTCCCTCTTTCCTCCAGGTATTGAACTCCCACCTAAATCTCAATGCTTTCTTGTGGACATGAACTCAGAAGACAGAATCATATAGAAAAGTTAACTTTCAGAGTCAGCTGTAAGGGTGTACGAAACCATTCACTCTATTGCAAAGTTAAATGAACTCTCTTTTTGAACTCTTCCTGATTTGTCTGCCAACAGAGTTGTGCTAAAATCAGTATCACACTATTCTGGTGGTGGGGTACCGGATAGTTTGCAATAATCAGAGATGGAATAAATACATCTGGACAAACTGGATGGTGGGAAGTGGTAGCCAGAGAGATATGCAAAAATTATTTAGGGGAAAATTTGTAAAGGACTCAACTCATGAGTTCTTTCTCCTCCCACTCATCCCCCTTCCATCCGAGCCTCAAGTATCAAAGATACCAAGAGTATTAAAACTCTTCCTACTGACTCAGACTCACCATCATGGGTGGGGATGGCATGGAAGTATGCACGTATTTCTCTAGGTCATTTTTCTGGTTCAAACAAAAGGCAAAGGAAATGAAGGAATCTGTATAATGCTCAAAGCACAAACTATGATTCTCCTGTAAGACAAGTACCTGCAAGTAGGCTAGCATTATTTGCAGCAACTGCAAGTATAATTAAAAACCTTTCAGCACTCTAGTCATATTTCCTGTCACAAAGGCAAGATGACACAGTGAGAACTGATCAAGTTGAACTCTGCCGACAATGAAAGGAAAAAGAGCATTCTGTGAACATACTCCCTTGTGTACATATGTGTATATTGATAAAAATGAACATCCTTCAACCATACTTGAAAAATGTTGCATTTTATCCAATCATTTTTATAAGGAACAGAATTAGAGAGTTGTAGAGACCTTTCACTCATGCATTCTCAATAAATATTTTTGAAGGATAGAACACAAGGTACACATTATTAAATGAATGAATGGTTTCTATAACCCCCTAATTCTATACCCAAATTCATGCACTTTGGTAATCCAGTATATTACAGTGACACTGAAAATCAGTCCCAATCACAGGAATGTAATCACAAGGCTGTTGTAGATTTTATAATCTTTTTTTCCTATTGAGTTCAAGAGAAGTTAAATGAAGACTGCAAAAAAACAAACAAAACCCTGTTGTTTCATGTAATTCTTGCCTGGGAAGTCTTATGTCTGTTTTTTTTATAGCCTTCTCTGCAAAATAAGTTACATAAAGTATACTCTTTGGAGTAAAGCTCAGTCACCAGTAACCTAACTTATAAAGGAAGCACTTTATCACAGGTAGACAGTGACAGAGGAATGTTATTAGAGTTACCACAGGTTCCAAAGCTGCCTCCTTCCTCTGCCAGTCTAGAATCCAAATCAAACAAACATGCTTTTGCTTGAAATGTCTTCTCTTCAAAATATAAAAAAAAAAAAAAACACCCAGGAAATCTAATAAGATCCAAGAACTAAACTAAGGTGGGATTCATTTATCTGCTTCCAAAATAAGTGTCAGTAAGGGAAAGATTTCCCAGAATATAAAACATAGCAAGCAATTAAAAAGCCACATATTTGTCTATTTTGTATTTTCTGTAATTAATACTGCACGAATGTGTTGAATCTGGCAACAACATCTGCTTCTGTTGTGCAGTATTTACTGAGTGTTCATTATTTTACTAGTTGAAAATACCATTTTAAAAGCATAAGCCCTACCTTGAAGAAGCTCACCTAAACAGGAAGAAAAAAATATTGTTTGCTAGCTAGATGTGTGATTAATTATGATTCACAGTTTCTATTCTGAGCTCCATCAGTTTACCTTGGGTTGCCCTGGGCAAATTGTTTAAATCTCCCATGCCTTAGTTTTCTCATCTGTAAAATAGAACTAAGAATACTAGTCTTCCTCAGCTATTCAGTGAGAATTAATTAATGTTTAAGATCCTCAGATGAAAGGCTCTGCATATGTGCAGAGGGCTATTACACAAACCATAAAACTGCATTTACACACAGCTGGGCATGATTCACGTGAGAAGACAAATTCCTATAAGCTCCACATCCTGTCAAGACCAGGATGTATATCTGACCTTGATGGTGTCAGGCTTAGACTCTGTGCAAAAAAAAAAAATATGGTGACCCACATATGTAATCATAAATCCTCTAATTACCAGATTTAAAGAGAAAAGAGG